GCTGAGGGCCTTCCCGGCCGCTACCTGCTGCTGGATCTTCCCGTCCTCCGTGACGACCCAGTGCGTGGTGGCGAGGGCCCCTCGGGTCGCCAAACTCAGCAAGGCGGAAAGGCGGAGGAGCCACCCTGGGCCGGAGCAAGGCGGCAGCTCGCACCGGCCGCGGACCCCTACTGCCGCCGCCATCTTGCCCCCCTCCCCCCGGCCCGACTGCTCACACCGGAAGCGGACGTCGCGGCCTCCGGCAGGTGGCTCTCCCTGGCCCGGGGCTGGAAGCCGCTGTGGCGCTGCTCTTCCTGGGCGGGCCGACCCGGGGGCGTGGGAAGCCGACGAGAGAAAAGCGGTGACTAGGTGGCGCTGCTCTCCCTGGCCCGGGGCTCGAAGCCGCTGTGGCGCTGCTCTTCCTGGGCGGGCCGACCCGGGGGCGTGGGAAGCCGACGAGAGAAAAGCGGTGACTAGGTGGCGCTGAGGTCGAAGTGAGAGGACTCCAGAGTGGTGCTCGTTTGTTTTTAGTATATTCGTAGTTTAAGACATGTTTTATTTCTCGTAGAGTGGCGTGGTTGGGAGCCAGAAAGTATGTTTCCGACCCACGTAAGGGACGCCAGGCGTTCCGTGTCGTTTGTCAGGTCTCGCCGTCGTGGAAGCTTCCGGACCGGGGTTCAGTCGGGCAGCGCTGTGCAGTCGCCCGGTGGTGCGAGCCTGTGGGCGCTCAGAGTGAAACCACTCCAGCGACAGTTCATTAACTCACTGTGCTCAGTCGTGGTATGATGCCGCTAAGCGCGATAACCGTTCAAATGGTTGGGGTGTTTATTTTTTTCTTTTTATTTTTTTAGTAAGTTTTGGAAGTCTGTCCTGATAGCTACATTTTGGCTAGCCAGTGGTCAGGGGCTTAATAACCACGTACGGTTAGCGGCTACGTGACTGGGTGGTTCCTGTTTAAGCTAGTGGTCTCAGTCGGTCTCAGTCGAACTAGAGGCAATGGCATCCCCTGAGCCTCTTAGAAATCCATACCCTCGAGCCAGCAGGTGGGGTGGAGGTTAAGGCCTTGGATCCCACCTGGTTGGCTTTCTGGTTGGATTTCCCAGACCCTGTGGCTTGAAATGGGCCAGCAGATGGTATAACGGTTACTTCTTGAACTCCCATGTAGTGGACTGTAGTTGGAGTCCCAGATCCGGTGTCTGATGTGTGTTTACATACCTGAGTTCCCAAGAGGAGAAGAGAGAAGGGATTGTGGGAGGGTCTTGCTTTCTAAGAGCGAATGTGCCCTATAGCAAAACTCTCTTAAAACACACACACACAAAATAAACCTGTCATTGCTTGTGCATGTGTTCCAAAATTCCAAAATACTGGAGAAGGCACTGCAGAGTGGCCCTGGAGAAGGAGGGATTAGGGAGGGGGGGTTTCTCATTTTCTTTTGTCTCTCTCTGGGGAGACCACCCTATACCAAAATCTAAAAATATAAAAGAAAAATGTATGTTCTTCGTTCTTCTGCTTCTCCTCCCGACCTACTGAATCTGACTTCCTATTTTTATTTTCTTAGAGAGGTTTTTGCTATAGGGTGCGTGCACTCACCAGAAAGAGACAGAGAGACAGCGAGAAGTCACCCCCCCACCCCCATGGGGATGGCCACTCCATAATCCTTTCTCTCGGGATCTTGGGCATGCACGCACATGCGTCCAGTGTGAGTTTAAGCCACTGGGGCTGGGACTTGAACCGCAGTCGACCACATGGGAGTCCAGTGATGTAGCCATTACGCCAACTGCTGGTCCCTGCTTTAAAAAATAAAAAAATTATTTAATTCCATTGTTATTTTTTAATTTGACCAGAGAGAGACAGCGAAAGGGAGAGAAAGCAATCCACCAGGTCCAGGACTCAAACCGTGGTCACTTGTGGGAATCCAGTGCCCTTAACCACTGTGCCACCTGCTGACCCCATGATTCTGACTTCCTTTTAAGAAAAGCCCCAAATGACTGGTCTGCTATTAAAGGGTTCTTTTGTTGCCAATTCTTGTATTTCTTCTATGAGAGAGCAGGCACCCCCAACAGGGCTCGAAGTCCACCATCTACCTCCACCCCAGTGCAGGGAGACTGAAGCAACCAAGGACTAAGGATGGTAACCTTGGTTTGGCAGATATGGATCAAGAAACTAGCCTGGAGCACAGAGAAGCTTTAAGGATGGAGTTTATGACCCTCTATATTTTGACTCCAAACAACTCCCAACTCCCTGCAACATGAGACGTATGTTAAATATACATACACACACACACACACACACACACACACACACACACAGTATATATACCTGTGTTAAATATATATATGTATATTTAACACAGGTATATATACATATGTATGGAACAAATTAAAAGAAAATTGAATAATAGGCCACAGGTAGTCTGGCTGGTTAAAGGATCATACTTTAATATGTTGGTTTAGATGGATAAAGGGTCAAAAAATAAAAGGGGGACCCTGGGAAAGAGACAGGGCTGTTGGTCTCCCTCGGCAATGGCCCATCCCATCTGTGGGATGCATCTCTATTTCCCGCAATAAACCTTGTGCTCAGCTTGTCTCATTGTCCTTCAATTCTTTGCTGTGACAGGGAGACAGACCTCTTCTCACCCTCACATCCCCGGCAATGAGGAGGCTGGCCTGTATGTTGAAGTTTGAGAAAGACTTCCCTTTGGTCCAGGCAAACAACTATCTTGGCTTCTAGCTTATAGGCAGATGAGTCATTGGAGATAGCAGGGTTGCCTTCTAGTTTTGTGTGTTATTTTGTATTTAGGTTCATTATAGTTTTGGTTTTCTCTGGGAAAAGGATGGTAGTGTTTCCTGACCACTTCCCTATATAGATGTTACAGGAAAACAAAAATAATTGCTAAATATTAAAAACCCCTTCATACAGGACCAGCAGATGGCATAATAGTTATATCGCTGGACTCCCATGTAGTCCACCTTCATTAAGAATCCCAGACCCGGCAGCTTAAAACTCATGTCAGATGCATGTGCATGCATGCCCAAAATCCTGAGAGGAGAGTGGAGAAAGGACTGCAGCATAGCCATCCCTTCTAGGTGGTGACTTGTTTCTCTCTGTCTCTCTTGAGTGAGCACATGCACCCTATGACAAAAATCTTGCTAAAAAAAAAAAAAATCTCTTTATGCTACAAAATGATCAGAGTGTTGGGCTTTTAAATTCTCTTTATTTTATAGAGCACCTTTTCTTAAAAGACTAGAATGATGAACATTTATTAAAAATATATGGCGTATCTGCTTTTTGCCTGGTACACTGACAGACTAGGTATGGAATTCTGTGCAATATGATGGGATATCAGCAGGCTAATAACTAAAATATATATGGGGTAATGAAGATGTTTATATGTAGAGGAGAGCGAGAAAACAGGTGAAAAAAGAATTGGTGCAAAGGTGCTGGTTCAGGCAGGATAAGCGGTAAGTGTGACACGGTGAAGTTGGTAGCAGGTTGGAAGGGTTTCCTTATGGTCATATGAGGGAGTTTAAATGTAGACAGTAGGAGGTACAGGAGACCCCTCCTATCTGTGGGAAGTAAGTTCCAAGATGTTCAGTGGATTCCTGGAGCCACCATAATACAAAACCTTTTATATTAATACTTTCATATATGTGAAAAACACCCTGTACCTATGATAGTTTAATTTGTAAGTGAGGCGTAGTAAAACAGTCACAATAACCAGTAATAAAATGTATGTAAATATGGTGTCTCTGAAAAGATCTCATTGTATTGTACCACAGGTTAAAAAACTGTAGGAAAGGAAATCACAGATAAGGGGGATTACAAAGTTTTAAAGTAGAGAAGTGGCAAATGATGAAGTCCCTTTTATTCTCAGCTTATTTTAAGGGTCGAGGTGAACATTTGTACCTGTGTATAAAGTCACCTAATAATGACAGTCATCATCTAATGTGTCCTGAGTGTTTCATACATCCTGGGTCCTGTACATATACACAATTCCTATTGAGCTTCACAACCACTAGGTTTAGGCTAGTTAAGTAACTTGGTTAAGATCATATTATTAATAAGTGGTAGAGCTCAGATTTGGACTGAGAGCTAACCAATTCTAGAGTCTAAGAAAGAATGACGAATGTTAAGTTTGAGAGACACCCCAAGATCACAAGTTTTGGTTATTAGCGATTGCTAATACAAGTTAACCTGTAAAGAGGCAGAATCATAGCTTCTACAGCTTTAATGTACCACCCTCCTGTTTTCCCTAGATAATAACCTTGTCCGTTAGGAACCTGTATTAGTTTTCTATTGCCGAGTAACAAATCGCCACACACTTATCAGCTTAACACACATTATCTTTCAGTTTCTGGCATGGCTGCAGTATCCGCTCAGAATCTCATGTGGCTGTTAGTAAAGTGCACTCTAGTATGAGGATTAGTGGTCCTCTTCCAAGATCATTTAAGTTCCATAAGGATGAGGTCTCCATAGCCACTAACTGTGGCAATTAACACAGGCCACCCACTATTTCTTGCCATGTGGCTTTCTTTGAATGGAAGTTACTCCTTTAAGGCAAGCAGGAGTGTCTCCACTCGAATCTCTGGCTTCCTCCATCTCTCTAGGCCCCAGATTTATAATTAGATAAGGTCCACCTGGATGATCACCCTGTTGATTATCTCCTGAGTCAACTGATGAGCAACCTTAGATACCTGCAAAAATTCTTTTTGGCACGTTACATGTCATTACTGGAGTGATAGTCATGTGTTCTTCCCACATCCATGGCAGGCTTCCGCCCAGTTGTATTAGGTATAATTAACACACAAAAATATTGCATGTCTTTACACTTAATGTTGATAATACACAGGGGAGACTTTGAGGGCAAGCATCATTTGGGGGTCATCTTAGAATCCTGCCTACCACAGATCCTGAAGGACCATTCCTCTCTTTTTTTGCCACTGATGGCCTTTTTTATTTTTATTCCAAAACAGGGAGCAAGTGAATTGCTTCAAGTATTAAGTCTTTTTGCTATTGTGTTTAGAATAGATTTTCAGAGTAAAATGTTATAGTAGGGAGATTGGTTAGGAAGTTATGATGAAACTCCAGGCCAAGAAATAATAGATCTGTAAGTTCGGCAGTCCATGGCATATACGTGGAATGTAAAGCCATTTACGACTGGATACGATCACTTAGGGAATTTAGGGATCTTGTCCTAGTCCACTGAGACCTTGGTTTTCAAACATTCCTAATCATCTGTGGTGCTACTTAGGAATACTTCATAACAAACAATACTTCATTTCAAACTTGTTTTACATTACTTGACAGTGGAACTAAGTTGATTCATGATAATGTGGCAAGTACCAGATGTTTTGCTTGGCTAAAAATAACCAAGTTCCTTTCCCAACCCCCTTTTATTTTTCAGGTGTTTGTCATAGGGCAGGTGAGCTTCCCAATGGGAGACTGAGAGGGAAAGTGAGAAATCACTCCCCAGCGGGGATGGCCACACCTTCTCCTTCATTCTCTTGGGGGTTTTAACACACATGCACACACTCTGGCATGAGTTTCAAGCCACCAGGTTGAGGACTTGAACTGGTCGGCCATGTGGGTCCAGCGCTTTAAATTAGCACACCACCTGCTGGTCCTAAAAATCCTCTTTTCTCAGAAGATTGTATTAGCTCCTAAAATTGAATCCAAATCCAGAACTATAAAAGATGGAAGATTTGGGTCAGCAAGTGGCGTGGTGGGTAAAGGCTCTGGACTTCCATATTGCCGACCACAGTTCAAGTCCCGGACCTGGCAGCTTGCTTTCTCAGTTTCTCTCCACCCCACCCCTGTTCTGTCCCTCTCTGGTCAAATTAAATAATGTTGAATAAAACAATCCTTAAAAAAAAAAAAGAGATGAAAATTAAAGATAATTTCCAAGATTATATTAAGACTGAACTCTGCAGTTGGAGCAGTGGTATTGTCCACCTTTGTATTTTCATGCTTGCCACATGAGAAGCAAGCAATAAATGTTAATTAATATTCAAGATCAGAAGTTATAATATATCAAGACACAAAACAAAGTTACAAAAGGAAATTTATTTCAAAAGCATAAGGGAACATTTACATTTAAGCAAAATTATAAACAGGTGTCTTGCAAAAGAAAAAAAAATCTATGGCATGAAGTTTTTAATTCAAATTGAATTAACACAAAATAACCTAAGTTGTGCACTATTGCCTCAAGAAAGGGAAGGAGAACAGCAAGGTGGTAAGGGAGGGAACAGTCAACTCAGTATCAAACTTCAGAAAACAAGTCACTTTTCAGTTTTGAGTTTACAAATATGCTTAGAAAAGAGGAAAAATTACACTTATTCAAATTTATATAGATGTAGTCCCAATACAGTTTCTGTACTTGAAATGGCTTTGGGCCGCTGGCTGATCTGTCTCTGAGGTTCAGACTAGCTGATCACAGTTTTCAAATGGCAATTCCATGTTCCTATGTCTGTCTGGATTCCGAGGGAGCTTAGGTTCAGCTTACAGTCTTCTGGAATGTTTAGAGATTATTGCCACCACTCCATAGTCAAGCTGACCAACCTCGTTTGCTCACTCAATCATCCCAGCCTTTTAGAAATATTTTCTCCATAAACATGTGCAGTAATTCTAACAAAAGGGTTTGCTTTTCCCCAGTGTAGAGGTAACATTAATAAAGACACCTGCATTGGAATCACAAACTATTCCTCAAAAAATATGTCAAACTACTAGAAATGTCATTCAGGCATTTGATTTGAATAGCAAACTTGGAGAGAAAAAGATTAACTGTGAAACAAAAATATATAAACATTCAAATTGAAGAGCAAAGGATCTATACTACTAAAAATGCCCATGACATTAAACACTCCACAAACCCCCCGTCTGTTGTTTTAACCTATAGATTCTATTGGCTAACTTATACAATAATTTCGATTAATAACCTGAGAAGTTACAAAACTTGAAAGTGGCAAAAGCAAACGGAGAGAACATCCCTTAGTTATTGGTGCTATGTTATTAAGTCACTTTTTCTGGGTAGCCCTGGTTATTCAATCTCCAAATTATACTATTTATCTTGTAGAAACCTGTATGTATATCAGATTCAATATCTGGGCTGTATTTCAACAGTAGGGTTTTCCAAATTTATTTTTGAAAATGCAGCCTTTATTTTTAGTTTTAAATAACAATAGTCATCTAAGTACAACTAACTCAAAATCCCTCACTACCGTAAGTAAAAACTTAGATAACAAGTTGATAATAGATTCTGCCTAAAAAGGATAATCACTGTGTCAAAGACTGCCCATTCCTGGAATTTAAAAAATGATTTATGGTGTGTAGTCAAGTTTCACAGCATGCATACACACACACACATATACATATGCAATGTGTGTATGTGTATTATACATACACATTTCCATTCAAATAGTAATATCCCATATTCAAAAGGTTGCATCACAATATATGGAGAAGAGTTAAGTAGTAAGCAGTGCAAGGCAGCTTACTTCTCCTAAAAATGTAATATTTCTACATTTTAGGAAAGCTGGTAAATATCTTGCTGTTATGACATGGTAGGAATGCTGCATCATTGCTTAGCAGCTTTATTAAAAAACAACGAAAATAAAATGTTAAGACTGACAGGTACTCTTCTTCATATACTGGGCAAAAACCAAGACAGGGAAGACGAAAATCTATAACCTTTTCAAAACTGATAATCTTTATCAGTTACCAGAACTAGGCTGGATTTCTTACATGTTAGACTTGAACAGCTCTCCATAACATTATCTAGATGTTTAAAAGTAAAGGATTCAGAATAAGAATTCTGAATAGTGATGATATTGCAAAAACAAGTTGACTGTGGACAAATCATCCAAAAATATCGCTGTGGTTCTACCTTGGACACAACCATGGTCTGTTACAAAAGTAGATCATACATTACAAAGGTATAAAGAACATTAAAGTTTTAGCTGAAGGCAGCAGTCCTTTTAAAGGGACATCCCCGGCAATCCAATGAGTAGTAGAATTTAAGTACATTAAGCTCATGACAATGCTGAAGAATGTGGTGTCTTATTCAGTAGAGTCTTCCCCGACTACGATTTCCTCGTGCTCCCCAACCTCGGCCACCTCTACTTCCCCTGAAGGCTCCTCTCTGCTCTACGAAAAAGCGAACAGGGTTTAGGTCTTGTTCAGGACTCCTGGTACAGCAAATACAGAAGAAATGTAGCTCATAGCTGTGAGTGCAGCAATGGACCCAACTGGCAATTCTGCTAGTCGGTCTACAAATTCATTCTGCACATAAAATCAGGACAACATACATATAAACCAAAGTGCATGTGGCGAGGGGCCACATACATTCATAGTAGGTGCTCAAACAAACGTATCCTGTTAACAAATTTGTTTCAAGGTGACAATGTTTTGATAATTACAAGTAATTCTTCATTTTGGTGTCTAACAAGACCAAAGATAATCAAACTAGGAAAATAATCTATATGTAATATGAAATTAACAAAAAGCCATTGACTAGTGCCACATTCATGAATACATTAAAAACTATTGATGAAAACTGAAAAACTGAGCTAGCCTGAAAAATGTACCTTTTGAACACAACAAGTTAGGTATTTTCTTTTTGATCACAGTATTTCAAACACTCAGACTTCCTAAATTCAGATCTAAATGCTGATCGTTTTTCTTTTCACTGCTTTATCGGCTGCGTGAATTTTCCAGAATGCTGCACAAAGGTGTATATGTATATATGCAAATTCAGAAGCTGTTCAACTCACAGGGCTATGTTCTAGTAAACCCACTGCAAGGAACTGAACATATTAGGTTGAAAATGTATGTATTATGGCTAACACACCAATCATCTAGCTAAGCCTACCTGAAATGTGCTCAGAATCCTTACATTAGATTAGCATACAGTTGGGCACAATCATCTAACACAAATGATAAAGTGCTGTTTCATGTAGTTAATTGAATACTGTACCAAATGTGAAAAACAATGCAATCCTTAGTGTTTTAAGTCAAAATCACTGTCAGAGTTCAAACAAACAAGACAAATGGCAGGCTGCACCATTGCAAAGTTAAAAACTGGAAGCTGAACCACTGTAAGGGATGCTTGAGTTATTTGCGTAAATTAAGCGTATCTTTTGCTGAAAAATTAAGTTGCTTGTGTCACACTGTAGAACAAGTCTTTCATCTATTATTGGTCAGTCACTTTGATAACTTCAGAGAAAGTCCTCAAAGAAGTCTTTACAGAGAAGAAAACTGATTGAAGTTATTGGCCAGGCTGGACTTTTCATCATATATAAATGAGATAAAATCTCTTCACTGAACTTTCAGACTTTCTCACTGTAGCAATCTTGTTAGCAGCAACAGAGAGCTTGATTTTGCTGTCTTCGATTCACAATCTTGGAAGCTTAAAAAGTATCTTCAAATCAATTTTGTAGACCATTCCTTTTGCCATTATTGCTTATTAGAGTTATGTGTTGATTTTTTCCCTCCAGAAGGAGTAATTCAACTGTCAGATGGAAAACTAACTAGACCTTTCTTCAGTTTACCCAGCATTATCTGTGTTGGGTAATGAGAATGAGATCTGATTCAAAGTCACCTCTTATACCGTGATACATTTTCATAAATTAATTGGTATGCAAACTGTTTTTAAAAAGGCGATCGTCATGTTTATTACCTGAGTGAACACATTAAGAAAATGAGAAGTGGTTCTGTGAGGGCAAAATGCTCCTAGCAACAGACACGGCAAGTGTGAGTGCACTCGGGCACGTAGCAGCCTTTATGTGAACTGTAATTCCAGCAATTTTTTTTGCTTTTTAGACTTGCAGACGTCTACTCATTTTCCCCTACTGTATTTATTATAAATCTTAATTTCTATGTTATTTATTTTTTGAGAGGTTTTTGTTATAGGGTGTGTGCACTCACCAGAAAGACAGAGACAGACAGACAGAAAGCGAGAAATCACCCCCCAAGGGGGATGGCCACACCGCAATCCCTTCTCCTCTCGGGATCGTGGGCACGCACACACATGCGCCCAGAGTAAGTTTAAGCCACCAGGTCCGGGACTCGAGCTAGGGTTGACTAAAAACTAACTAGACCTTTCTTCAGTTTACCCAGCATTATCTGTGTTGGGTAATGAGAATGAGATCTGATTCAAAGTCACCTCTTATACCGTGATACATTTTCATAAATTAATTGGTATGCAAACTGTTTTTAAAAAGGCGATCGTCATGTTTATTACCTGAGTGAACACATTAAGAAAATGAGAAGTGGTTCTGTGAGGGCAAAATGCTCCTAGCAACAGACACGGCAAGTGTGAGTGCACTCGGGCACGTAGCAGCCTTTATGTGAACTGTAATTCCAGCAATTTTTTTTGCTTTTTAGACTTGCAGACGTCTACTCATTTTCCCCTACTGTATTTATTATAAATCTTAATTTCTATGTTATTTATTTTTTGAGAGGTTTTTGTTATAGGGTGTGTGCACTCACCAGAAAGACAGAGACAGACAGACAGAAAGCGAGAAATCACCCCCCAAGGGGGATGGCCACACCGCAATCCCTTCTCCTCTCGGGATCGTGGGCACGCACACACATGCGCCCAGAGTAAGTTTAAGCCACCAGGTCCGGGACTCGAGCTAGGGTTGACTACATGGGAGTCCAGCGACACCAACTGCTGGTCTCTCCATTTCTGTGTTATTTTTAACATCAACACACATAATTTAACACCTTTGCAGATGTCATTAATTGCATAAGTTAGCAGGCTACCGCGAGCCACCCTTTCATTTTTTTCTGTCTTGATTTTAAAGTGGCAAACAGGGTTACTCTCAACTGTTCAGCTACATGTAATGAGTGCATCATACAAGGTATTACTTGATGCCGTTACCCTTCTATACTGACTCTCTTTTTAATTTTCAATTGACGCAGTCATTTTTGCAGTATAGGGACTCATCAAATTTTCTTCTTTTTGAAAGCTTCATCCTTACAGACTATTCTGCTTTTTCATTATCTTTTCAGTGGTTTCAAGCTTTTATAAGAAAACCTATGCTCCCAGTTAATAAGTTATATTTTAAGAATTATTTTTGGATTCTAAAAAGGCAAAGGACACAATTGAGAAAATATACAATGTTTGGTATCTCTGGGTTACTGGGGAACTTTGTATGCAGGAAGGAGAGCTACCTATGAATATATGTTTATAAATAATTTGATCTAAAATGCACTAAGATGTTGGGCTAATTTTTAGGAACTATTTTCAACTAAATGGGTAAAATAAAGTCAAGAAAACTCTTGAAATTATTGTGATGGTACCTGTAACCTGATCACATTAAATTCTCTCACATGTAAAATATTAACAGAAATTTGTTTCTATTTTCCAATAAGAAGAATAACTTTAGAAAAAGGAAATGAACTTGCTTTTACAAGTTACTCTGCCCTTCTCTCACTTTGAGGACTAGAGGAACAGTTGAAATTGTAACTCCTGGATTTTTTGTCTCTAATAAAATTCTGATTATTTTTTCCTCCACATTTTGTTTTTAAATCACAAACAATATAAAAGCATTACATTTTCCACATCCCTTTTTTACATGCATTATATCACCTGATTCTCACTAGCAGGCAGGCAATGCATTTTGTAGGACTGATAGAATCCTCATGGAAACTCAAAAATGGACTTATCAATGAAAAAGGATATATATAATTCTCTTATTTACTGTCATAGTTCTTGATTAACTTGATCAGTCTCCTAGAATCTGAGATAATCGTTGATTTTAACAATGGTACTCTCAGACATCTCATTAAATCATACAACTGACAAAGGACATTTGGTGCAACAAAGTAAGAATCCTTCCCATTTACAAAATACTTTCACAAATATTATGTGAACCTTGTAAGAATTCCAAGTTACTATGTTTCCGATAAGAATCTATTTACTCAGATATTAGAAGTTCAGCTTTTGGGAAGAATTTACTTAATGTTATAATTACTTCATCTTAAAAATAGAATTATAGAGTGTAATTTGCACTCAAGTACAAGTTTCATACAAGTTCAGAATTTTTTTTTTTTTTAATCTGCTATAGGGCACATATGCTTGCTGGTGGGGGATGGGGAGGCGCACATAGGCAGAAAGCATTCCCTAGGGGGATGACCACATTGCAATCCCTCTTCTCCAGTCTCTTCTTGTGATTTTAGGCACATACACACACACACAAGCACCTAGTGTGTTTTTCAAGCTGCTGGGTCTGGGACTCGAACTGCACTGTAGGCTACATGGGATCCAGCTGCCTTAACCATCATTCTACCTGGCTAGCCCCAGAATGTACTTTTCCTAAAAAAAATACAAACAAAAAAAAAAACCACTACAGATTCTGTCTTCCTAAGGAAGATAACAAACTGAAATAATTTTCTGTCTATTCTTTTAAAAAGATCCACGAGGAAATAAGCCAATGAGAGATACGGTATACATCTGATTCAACTGGTGGGTGGCTCTCCTGCACCAATGGCTGAAGGAGACTGGGAAGCACTGGCAGGAGACTTGCACTCCAGGTGGAGGGAGAGACTGTGAAGAGAATGCTTCCTTGCCAGAGGATGTATGCACGTCTGACTCCACTTCTATGATTCTCCTTTCGAACTAGTTATTGAAGATAGGGGGATAAGCAATGGGCTGACTAGGTCCAAGAAAGATCATTAACAGCCCATCTGTCTGAAGCTATCGCCATGCTGAGGGGGAGAATGCACAGAAGGTCTTGCCTTGAAGGGAGAACTGAGGAAACAAGGAATGGATGGTTCATGCCAACTTCTTTTTAGTTTCTGTTGTTCTGCTGAATACAGAAGGCATATTTTTCTAAGTGCTTAGTGTTGCATGCTCCATTCAGTGAGCCCCTAATAACAACTCACAGGGGTGAGTTATAGAGGAACAGGATAAATTGTTTTTCCAACAGCTCTAGTTACCAAGCTAAATTCACAAGTCACCTGACAAAGCTATAATACTATATATAATTAATAACTGAAGCCAACCACAACACGATTTCTGCCTAATCTCTTGTACTGCTTGTACCCAAACGGAAACGCTCACCATAATTAAAGTTGCCCAAATTGCTGCTATATTTCCCACTGGGAGGATTATAAATTTGTCTGGCATCCCTTTTTGGTCCTGCGGTAGATTTCTTGGGTGGTGAACCTGAAGTTGTATCCTCATTGGCTCTCTTTTGCCTGTAGTTGTAAGAAGAACAGTAATTAAAAAACTCCTATTATGCTAGAAGTTATCAAAAAATGTATGATTTAGGCCTTTCACCTGTGAAAGATATCAGAAAAATCCCTTTTGGGATTTTTTGAGCATGCACACACATGTGCCCAGCAGAGTTTTCTTTCCATTTTTTTTCGGAGAGGTTTTCGCTATAGGGCACATGTGCTTGCCATGGAGACAGAAAGCGAGAAATAACCCCCCAGGGGGGATGGCCATGCCGCAATTCCTTCTCCTCCATTCTCCTCTCGGGATCTTAGGCATGCATGCACATGCACCCGGTGTGAGTTTAAGCCACCAGGTCCAGGACTCGAACCATGGTCAGCTACATGGGAGTCCAACGGTATAGCCATTGCGCTAACTGGTCCCGAGTTTTCTTTCCATTTTAAAAATACTATAATTATTATTGTTTTATACATTCAATTGCTATACATCATTTAACTTGTAAAGAGAATTTATCCATCATGAAATACACCTCAGCCCAGTCGAGAATACTATGCACGTTATCATCAACAGGTAATAAATAATTTTTGTGCCCCACAAATGTCTTACTTCTCTATTTTTTTACCCTAATTTCCTTCCCTACACTTGGTTTTCAAGCCATTGGATCTGGGACTCAAATTGTACAGTCATTCATGTGGGGATCCAGCCACCTTAACCATTACACCACCAGCTGACTCAGAATAATTTGAAATATGTAGCTTCACAGATCAACATACAAGTGATTTATTTTATAAAATTTGTCACCAAGTCTAATTATGCTACAAGAATACAACACACTTGAGAGTGTCAGGGTTGTATTCTACATGTTTATTTTACAAGCAATGAAGTAAGATTTTGCATTTTAAGTTATGGCTCTAATGATCCTATGTGAACATTTTACCAAGAATCACTTAATAATGTAGCTTTTTAAATAGTAAAATAATCAACTAAATTCAAATTTTGATACTACCAAAATATCTTTTAAAAATATTTCTTACCCAACTTCAACCTTCTGAACTGGTTTCCAAGATAACGTTACTGTGCTCTTGTAAGAAGGAGGAATGTGGAAGAGATCCTGTAAAGACAAAATTAGACATTATTAATTAATTAGTCCTCAGTGGCAGGGAGTGGTGGTAAGGGTAGAAAATTAAAGATTAATTTAAAAGCGGAAGCTCTAACTTATCCTTCTTGCTCCTGTGCTGGTGACTTAAAGACCTACATAAAACTGCAACAGAAAGATTAACAAGGACAATTCTGATTACAAACCACACCCATATCCTCATAACATAAATCTGTGCCTATCACTTAAACTGTAGGCAGTTTTTTTTCCCTAAATGTCATTTTGAGTTTCAGGGTAAAATATCAATATTCATCAATGTTGATAAACAAAGCCAATAAGTATTTTCTTTTGCTGTAGTCACCCAGGTGTTTTAAGGAAAATATTGGGTTGTCAGAAAAGTCATGACACATTTTTGCATAGAAAACACACCATGACTTTTCTGACAATCCAATAAAACAGTATAATCTGCACTTGCTTTTTACAGATTTTCAAATGGTTCAAAATCAGACAAAACAAAATGCTTGGCCAATCATGTATTTTCCGATCCTCAAAAACTACATTATCAATAAAGGAAAAACTCATAGATTTACATACCAAGTTATCAGTATGTGGGTTGAATGCAAATATTTGTAAATAATAAAAATAGAACTGAAGTAATCTAACCTTTTAATATCCTCAAAATTCTGGATTACTAAACACATTTATTCTCAGTATCTTACTAAGATGATTTTTGTCAGCTTTAAATTTATATACAGGTAAAATTTGATAAAACTTTTTTCTCCAGTTAAAATCAATTTATGAATAAAACTCACTCATTATATAAAGCTTAAGTTCAGATAAATGCAGAGAACTGGATAACATAACATGCTCTGAATCAAAACTGCTAGGTGGAATGATTTAATGCATGATAGTGTTGCCAAGGGAAAAAGAGCATCTAGAGAAAGGGCAAGGCTTTGGTTTTAAACATGCCAAGTCTCACATGACAGTGGGAAACTGGGGTATAGTTTGGGGTGGCTCATTAAAATAGGAGAAAGGTAGGTTGGAACTGCTTGACTCTTCCTAGCAGAAACAGAAAAATGCCAAGGATGGACCAAAGCACATCGGTTTTCCCTGTGACTTCCTCAAAACAAGTGTGCTGCACTTGCCTAATTTAAAAATATCTCCAGATCTCTCATAAGGCACCCTTCATGGGTTGCTGACCCACCCTATCTGTCCCTTTGCCACACACCTCTCTACTGCAGCCATCTTTAGATCACGTATGGCTTCCTTTCTTATCTACGTGTATTAGGTTGTAGTATTTACATGGTTTAAAATGTTCTTAACATCATATTTTATCTTGAGTATAGACTTGTATCATCAAGTAAAGTCAAATCTAACTTTTTTTTGAAGAGATTTTTGCTATAGGGTACATGATCTTGCTGAAGAGACAGAGACAGAAAGCAAGAAATCACTCCCCCCAGGGGGATGGCCACACCATAATCCCTCCTCCTCCAGTCTCCTCTGGGGATTTTGGGCACGTGCACACCTGTACCCAGCATTAAGTTTCAAGCTGCCAGGTCGGGGATTCAAATTGTGGTCAACCATGTGAGAGCCCAGCACCTTAACCATGATACCACCTGATGACCCACAAATCTAACATTTTAACACATACTACGTGAAATTATTTATATTTAAGACTTATAATAATTGTTAGCCACTATAAAGTTTCCTTAGAAGACATAAGTTAATATTCTTTTTATTTTTTAAAAAAAGAATTATTTTACTTAACTTTATTTATTTTAATTTGACCAGAGCGGGACAGAGAGAGAAAGTGAGAAAGCAAGTCGCCTGGTCCAGGACTTGAACCTCAGTTGGCCATGTGGGAGTCCCTAACCACCATGCCACCTGCTGGCCCCAATGTAAGTTAGTATTCTTCCCTCTTCTGTCTTTAAAGGCTTTCGCTTTTCTACTTTGCAATATGATACTAATTCCTCAATGTCCGATTCCCCTTCCTCTGAAAAGCTTCACCTTCTCTTCTTTTTTTTTTTGAGAGGTTTTTGCTATAGGGCGCGTGTGCTCGCCAGACAGACAGAGAGAGAGACAGAGAGACACAAAGCAGGAAATCACCCCCCGGGGGGGTGCCCACACCGCAATCCCTTCTCCTCCATTCTCCTCTCAGGATCTTGGGCACGCATGCACACGCGCCTGGCGTGAGTTTAAGCCACCGGGTCCGGGACTCGAACCGCGGTCAACTACGTGGGAGTCCAGTGACATAGCCATTACGCTAACTGCTGGTCCCTCACCTTCTCTTCTTGATAAAAAATTATCTCATAAGATTTTTATCACAGTAGCTTTAAAGCATACTAGTCTTAATTTTGTTACTATCAGGCTTTGTCCTCTAGGTGTTATAAATCATTATCATTATTATTTTTGCTATAGGGCACCTGTGCTTGCCGGGGAGAGAAAGAGAAAGTGAGAAAGTACCCCGATGCATGATGGCCACACCACAAATCCTTCTCCTTTTGAGATTTTAGGCATGCATGTACAAGTGCCTACCATGATTTCATTTCCTTTCATCTCATTTCTTTTCTCTTTTTTTTTTTTCCTAGAGAGTTTTGCTACAGGGTGGACACGCTCACCATAGAGAAAGAGACAGACAGAAGGTGAGAAATCACTCCTTAGGGAGGACAGCTATGCCACAATCCCTTCTCCATTTTCCCTTAGGGATTTTAGAAATACATGCACACATGCCTGGCGTGAGTTTCAAGCCTCTGGGTCTGAGAGTCCAGTGGCATAACCATTACGCCATCTGCTGGTCCCACCAGCATGATTTTCAAGCCACTAGGTCTGGGACGTGAACTGCAAAGTAGGTCGGTCACGTGGGATCCAGCCACCTTAACCACACTACTTGGCTGGTCTTAAATTATTATTTCTCACTCACATTTGGTCATGAAACTATTGAGTTGTAACAACAAGTGTGGCTACTTTGTGTTTTTTTGTTGTTGTTGTTTTCTGAGGGTATTAGTATTTTGTTTAGGAGAGTAGATACTTAGAAAGGATAAACAGAATTGAAGGGTAATTATGGCTTAATGGTAAGGTATACCCTAGCCTAACAGATAACTCTATTAACTACATAATAGATTTATAGAAAGGACCATAGAAAAACATTTCATATTACACATAGCACATGTCTTTTCTTTTCAAAATTATTTATTTAATTTATTATTATTTTTCATTTGCTATAGGGTACACATAGTCACCAAAGACAGAGAGGGAAATGAGAAAGCAAGCTGCCAGGTCCAGCACTCAACCACGGTCGGCCAAGTGCCAGCCAGCGCCTTAACTACTACACTACCTGCTGGCCCACATATGTCTTTATTTTTAGAGTAGGCAAAGCAGGAGTTTACCAGTCATTTAAATGAACCCAATGGCATTAAGATTATCAGAACTTAAGTCACTGAAATTTTTGAGTTTAAATTTACCTGTTCTGGGACCAGAAGATGGCGCAATAGTTACGTTGCTATACTCTCACATAGTTGACAGTGGTTCGAATCCCAGACCCAGCAGCTTAAAAATCATGCTGGGCACATGTGCATGCATGCCCTACATCCTGAAGGGAGAATGAAGGAAGGAACTGTGGTGTGAACAACCTCCTGGGGGGTGATTTCTCACTGTCTGTCCGTCTTTCTGGTGAGTGCAAGCGCCCTATAGCAAAAATTTCTCTTTAAAAAGAAAAACAACTATCTGCTCCCATTCTTTGGGTCAGTAGAAATTTTTAAGTTTCTCTGTTTGTAGTGTCTTCTGCAAAACTTTAAAATAAATAAAACAATGTTTTTTATTCAGCTTTTATTGCAGCTGAAGAAATATCACTAGATAATATATATATAAATAAAAAGATAGCTTTTCAGTCAGAAAAGTGCTTGCACATCTATGTTTATTGCAGCACCATTCACAATTGCTAAGACATGGAACCAACCCAAATGTCCACAAACAGATGAATGGATTGAAAAAATGTGACACATATATACTATGGAATACTATTCAGCCATAAGAAATAAGACCCTAGCATGTGACAGAGAGTAGACAAATATGGAAGATTTACTGTTGAGTGAAGTAAGCCAGTCTGTGAAAGAGGGACATTGTATGTCTCCACTTAACATATGCTAACTATGCGCACTCTATGGCAGAAACTGAAAGGTTAGAGGATACAGAAACATGGAAAATGGTTCCAGACACTGGAGACAGTGTGGAAAGAGGGTGGGAGAAGGAGGAGAAACAGGAAAGGAATCAAGGAGAAAAACAGAAAGGCAAGACATTTGAGGGACACAGAAATGGATGACTGCCTGATGATGATAACATGTATGATATCTTTGGACTGGTGTGGGGTGTGTTCATGTTGGGTCAATTCATTTTGCAAACTGTGGTGATGTATGTATAAATTTTAAAATATGTTAAATTTTTAAAAAATTAATATTAAAACATGAATAAATAATAACATGGCTTATCAAAAGATAGAAAGTTTTAAAAGGACCAATGTTGGAAATAAAATGGCATCTCCCCTTTTAAAGTACCATTACAGACTTAAAAACACATGGAAAACCACTTGCAAGGACTTTATTGGTAGCTGGAAGGGTTAGGTAAGAAAGGAAAACTTACCTTGATTAAAACATTGATATTGTTCGTTATTTTCAATGCAACAACTTTAATCTTGTTCTGTAAAGAAAAATCAAAACTAAATTAAAATACCATTAATTTATATGATACATATTCCATACCAATACAGCACTAAAATAACTATACTTCTCTCTGAGAATCACTTCTGTTGAAAATCCCTTGGTTTAAATCTTAGGTAATGCGTATCCCTATTTCTTGACTGTAACTAAGCCTACAGATGGCAGAGAAGGCAAATAAGACATTAAGATGTTATCTACAATTTATCTAAAAAATGAGTAAGGCAGAGTTGTTTTAAAATAAATCGGTCTAAGTTATAAGGAGACAAATGAAAACTTAAAATATTTCCGTAGGATGGGGATGAAAACTTATTAATAAACTAGGAGGTCAGGAAAACTCCCAAATTCCAACACAAATCTACATAGTTTGGTATGGAATTGGCAGTTGTGAGCTAGTATTCTTACCTCTTCTGTTTTTAAGGCCTCGCCGGTTTTACCCTGGAGAGCCAAGCGAAGTTGTCGGATATAAACTTGCAGGCCCCGTGCAAAGTACTGCAGCCTAAATGAAGAGATATTCGTTACTTAGCAACTCAGGACTTCAGTTCTGTTTATAAACTCAGCCTTCCGCTATAGCAAAATAATCCTAAGTGTAGACAATGGCTACATTAAACAGTAATTTCTTAAGCTGTTTCTGATTAACTGCTCCATCAAGTATTAAACCTCTGCTTGGGCCAACTCAGGTGGCCTGGTGCTTAAGGGAGCTGGATTCCACACAGCCAACTGCATGATTTAAGTCTTGGACCAGCAGCTTGAAAATACACCAAGCGTATGGGCCCAAATTCCCCCCAAAAGGGAGAAATGCAGGAAAAGGGATGGTAGTGTTACCATTCTCTACAGGGGGTAGTTCCCCACCTTGCAAGTGCACAGGCCCTCTGGCAAATTAAAACAAATGAACAAAAAAAAAAAAAAAAAAAGGAAGGAAGGAAAAAGAAAAAGAGAAAGGAAAATCACCTCCCTCTGCCTTACCACACCTTACAGGACAGTTACAGGTGACACAAAATTTCAGATGTGAATGTTAAAGGAATGGTTTAATGCAAAGCATCTTCATGAAAACTTATGCTGATTGATCCCTCCAGGCTGCTCTGCCATAACACCATGCTAGCACTAGCAGCTACAGTGTAGAGTCCGCACTCCATGCAAAGCATTCATAAAAGCTACATCCTTGCCTCCTTACATTCAAACCATTACGTGAGATAGGGACTACAATATTATCATTTACATTTAACAGCTGAGGAAAATTCAAGTGGTTTGAGAGGTCAAGAAAACTACCAAAGATCATAAAGCAACTAGAAAGACCCAAAACGTCTCTTTTTTAAACATTCATTTCTTCCATTGATTTGTTATGCCAATCTACCATTTATTTACACATATGCCTGTTTTCTGGATATCCCATTCTGTTCCACCACGGTAAGACAGGGTGGGGAAAATGCCCTTCTAAAATTAAAGACAAAATCCAGGAAGCTTCAATGTAACTATAACTTTTGTTAGGAACTGAACTACTGTAGGAATCATATATCACCTGATTTTGAAATCTTTGAGCTTTTCTGCATTCAGTTTTGCTGTGAGGAAATCTGGAAGTTTTCGGCCCAATTGGTGGAAACTGTACAGCAGACATTCCACATAACTGAACTGCAGCTTGGGTTCTTCATTACCAGCATTCTCCCCATTTTCCGCTTCTTCTGGAGGAAGAGGCATGTACTCCTAAGAGATGACAATATAGAGATGTTTGCCATCTGTGCTAGTCAAGCAATTGTAGGGCATACTTTTAAGCCATGGAGCATTATAAATTACCCAAACCAAAGGTGGCATTGTGGTTAAGGCACTGGATCCCACATGTAAAAGTCCAAGGTTCGAGTACCAGATCCAAAGGCTTGAAAGACATGCTGAGCGCCTGTACGTATGTGCCCCAAATCCCTAAAGAATCGAGAAGGGATGGTGGCATGGCCACTCCCCATGAGGGGTGGCTTCTCACTTTCCCTCTGTCTCTCTCTGGTGAATGCATGCATCTTATGACAAAAATCTACCAAATGAAACTACCAAAACCAAAACCTTGGGTCAGAGTTCCATTTTACTACTAAACAAAGGTCTAGCCTGTCAGACATGCTCCATGCTAACTTATGTCACAGGTGCTACTCCTAATCACAAAAATGCAAGCTGCTGATGTGAGGCACTTACACAGCTCTGAGAGCTTCCGTAACTTTCCTATGATGAAGAATCAGGAATCCACTCAGGTTTGATATCTAAAGTTGACACTGTCAACTCTGAAATCCTTTTAACATCAGTCCATATGATTAAATACTAATGAAGTGTTGCCAAAGACATTCAATATTAAGTGTTATAATGCCCTGGTAGGTGTTGTAGTTCTGGAAAGGCACCAAATGGTGGATAACTCAGGACATCCTGGTTGCTAAAGATACTTGGCCTTGGACAGCTACCTAATTGGTGAACTGAATGAATGAACTTTTTCATTGCTAATGTTAGTTTTTTTGAGAGAGATTTTTGCTATAGGATGCATGCGCCTGCCTGAGACAGAGAGATAGAAAGTGGGAAGTCACCCCACGGAGGGATAGCCACACTGCAATCCCTTCTCCTCTGTTCTCATCTTGGGATCTTGGGCATGCATGCACACACACCCTGTGTGAGTTTAAGTCACTGGACTCGGACTCGAACAGCGGTTGACTAAAGTAGGAGTCCAGCGACATTACCATTACACCATCTTCTGGTCCCACTAACTTTAGTTTTAATACAATTTAGTACAATTCACAAGAGTTAGAGCTAACTTAAACATTATTTGGATAAGAGAATAACAGAAAGGTCTACTATATAAATCCTATATATTTTACATAAAGCACCAATAATAGAAGAAATGCTAAGATTAAAGTGATGTTAAAGTAGATCTGTGGTCTGAACAGCTAATACTTGCTAGAATTATTTTAAAAAGTTCTTACCAATAACTTATCAAATAGTTTTCTTAAATTTGTTTCTAGCTTCTCCATGTCACCACAAAATGAACTCATCTCCGCCAACAACTTCAGTACCTAAAACAAAACAATACTTTTTGAATGAGTAAGGGCTACAAAACAAGAATGATTCGATATATCCATTCAAGACTTTTACTTATGTTCTATTATATTTTATGAATACAGTAATGTTCGAGCTGGAAAAAAAATCTGAAAGATGCAGTCCTTGAAACGGCTGGTGGGATGGTGGTTAGGGCAGCTGGATTCCACATGGATGACTCTGTGGTTCAAGCCCCAACCAGATGGCTTGAGAACACACTGGGCAGGTGTGCATGCATGCCCAAAATCCCTAAAGGAGAATACGAAAGGGACTATGGTATGACTATCTCCCATGCGGGAGTCCTTTCTCACTCTCTCACTCTCTCTGGTGAGCACACTCATCTTCTAGCAAATTAAGAAAAATAATGAAGATGTCATCCTACATTTCCTGTTGAGGAAAATGAAGGTCATAGGTCATGTGACTGGCAGGGCAGATTTATCTGTCAGAAGTTGTAAAGAAAGAATACACAGGGCACTTTCTGTTAACGGCAGTGCTAATTACACACAGTAAGTGTGTGTGTGTGTGTGTGTGTGTGTGTGTGTGTGTGCATGTCTAAAATCTCTAGAGGAGAATGGAGAAGGGATTGCAGTGTGGCCAGCCCCACAAAGGAAGGTGGCTTCTCACTTTCCCTCTGTCTCTCTCTGGTGAATGCATGCATCTTATGACAAAAATCTACCAAATGAAACTACCAAAACCAAAACCTTGGGTCAGAGTTCCATTTTACTACTAAACAAAGGTCTAGCCTGTCAGACATGCTCCATGCTAACTTATGTCACAGGTGCTACTCCTAATCACAAAAATGCAAGCTGCTGATGTGAGGCACTTACACAGCTCTGAGAGCTTCCGTAACTTTCCTATGATGAAGAATCAGGAATCCACTCAGGTTTGATATCTAAAGTTGACACTGTCAACTCTGAAATCCTTTTAACATCAGTCCATATGATTAAATACTAATGAAGTGTTGCCAAAGACATTCAATATTAAGTGTTATAATGCCCTGGTAGGTGTTGTAGTTCTGGAAAGGCACCAAATGGTGGATAACTCAGGACATCCTGGTTGCTAAAGATACTTGGCCTTGGACAGCTACCTAATTGGTGAACTGAATGAATGAACTTTTTCATTGCTAATGTTAGTTTTTTTGAGAGAGATTTTTGCTATAGGATGCATGCGCCTGCCTGAGACAGAGAGATAGAAAGTGGGAAGTCACCCCACGGAGGGATAGCCACACTGCAATCCCTTCTCCTCTGTTCTCATCTTGGGATCTTGGGCATGCATGCACACACACCCTGTGTGAGTTTAAGTCACTGGACTCGGACTCGAACAGCGGTTGACTAAAGTAGGAGTCCAGCGACATTACCATTACACCATCTTCTGGTCCCACTAACTTTAGTTTTAATACAATTTAGTACAATTCACAAGAGTTAGAGCTAACTTAAACATTATTTGGATAAGAGAATAACAGAAAGGTCTACTATATAAATCCTATATATTTTACATAAAGCACCAATAATAGAAGAAATGCTAAGATTAAAGTGATGTTAAAGTAGATCTGTGGTCTGAACAGCTAATACTTGCTAGAATTATTTTAAAAAGTTCTTACCAATAACTTATCAAATAGTTTTCTTAAATTTGTTTCTAGCTTCTCCATGTCACCACAAAATGAACTCATCTCCGCCAACAACTTCAGTACCTAAAACAAAACAATACTTTTTGAATGAGTAAGGGCTACAAAACAAGAATGATTCGATATATCCATTCAAGACTTTTACTTATGTTCTATTATATTTTATGAATACAGTAATGTTCGAGCTGGAAAAAAAATCTGAAAGATGCAGTCCTTGAAACGGCTGGTGGGATGGTGGTTAGGGCAGCTGGATTCCACATGGATGACTCTGTGGTTCAAGCCCCAACCAGATGGCTTGAGAACACACTGGGCAGGTGTGCATGCATGCCCAAAATCCCTAAAGGAGAATACGAAAGGGACTATGGTATGACTATCTCCCATGCGGGAGTCCTTTCTCACTCTCTCACTCTCTCTGGTGAGCACACTCATCTTCTAGCAAATTAAGAAAAATAATGAAGATGTCATCCTACATTTCCTGTTGAGGAAAATGAAGGTCATAGGTCATGTGACTGGCAGGGCAGATTTATCTGTCAGAAGTTGTAAAGAAAGAATACACAGGGCACTTTCTGTTAACGGCAGTGCTAATTACACACAGTAAAACTGGCAACTCCATTAATTTATACCATAAAGAGGTGCTCTGGAGGAACTATTTTTTTTTTTTTTTAAGAATTATTTTAGGGACCAGCAGTTAGCGTAATGGCTATGTCGCTGGACTCCCACATAGTTGACTGTGGTTCGAGTCCCGGACCCG